TTTGCGGCAGCACTCCGCGTCGCCGGCGGACTACCCAGCACCTGCGGCCAGCGAGGAGAAAAGGGCACCGCACCCGGACGGTAGGGGTTGCGTATGTCCGCGGGGCGGTTAAGCCTAAGGCGCCTCCTTCCGAGACTTCTTTAACGTATTTCCTCTTGGCTTGCTGGGTGTCCGTTCTCCCTGGCCCCAACTCCGTTGTGTTTTCTGCTTTCCTAGGCCCCTTGGTCCACAGGCCAATGTCACCGAAGCCTGTAGACCGCGCCTCTCTCGGCTCTTTCCACGTTACCTTAGCTTTCTGCTTGACTCCTGGTTTGGCCTTCTGTTTCTTAACCTGAAGTCTACGCTCCTTGTCCCAGCTTGCATGGCCCTGCGGGATTTGGGCCCCGCCAACCTCTTCAGCTCGTCTTTTTCTTCTTCCCGACATGCACTCTGCCCTCAGCCACGTCTGGGTGCTCGGTGTCCCCCAGACATACCCAGCATCTCCGGCTGTAACTCGTGCTGTGTGTGCCCTTCAGGAATGCTCTGCTCACTGATCCTCACTTGGCAAACGCAGCCCGTCTTAAAGGCATTCTCAAGTCTCCTGGACAGAGTTGGTGCTTCCTCCTTCGACTTTTTGTCTCTTGGGCTCTTCCATTGGCTTCTGAATTCCCTGTGTATGCCCCATTACATTGCTTATGTTGCAGCTGCCCCCCTCCCATTTCTAGTGCCTGGTTCGTTAATACTCAGTAAATGAATAAAATAATGGGTAGAAAATTAAAAAATTAAATTCACCTGTAAATCTACTACTCATACATAAAAAAAACTGTATCGACCTTTTCTTGTGCCTCCTTCCAGTCTTCTTCTGCAGTTTTTTTTTTTTTTGGCATTATTGTAATCTCTTTTGTCTTTTAACATCAAAATGTGTGTTCCGTGTATATTATTCTCCGCCCCTGACCAATACTCTACTAAATGGGTAGCAGATATAATTAACCATTTCTCTGCTGTTGCTCCTTTAAGTTGTTTGAAATTCATTTTTTCCTCCACAGTTACTGAGCTTCTACCTGGTCTGTACCCAGTAGGCACTCATTGTTCAGTAGGGGAGACATCGAAGTGAATAGTCTATTACGGGAGCGTGCAAAGTACAATGAGTTGAGGATGCTGTGCTAACACTGGAGGGACACACCAGTGTCAGGATGATGTCTCAGAAGAAGTGTTACCTAAATTGAAATGGATCAGAAAATTGAAAGAAATGGTTTTGTGCTTGTGCTTTTTGGCTTATTTCAGTTATTTCTTCAGATCTATCTCAAAGAATTAGGATTACTGAATCAAAACATAAGCTTTTTTTTTGACTTTTGATAAAAATGACCTTATTGATATAGAGGATTTTTATGCATTGTTTTTTAGTTCTAGTGCTCTGTTCCTTGAGTTTTGTGAAAGCACAAAAATTGCTCACCTACCATAAACTGGAAGAACCTGTCTAATGAAACAGTTTGGTGAGAAGAGGTTGGGAAAGTAGTATGAAATATCTTTCTAGAGGGCTATTGATCATAATTATCTAGCTTTTTTTCTGAAAACAATTGCAATTTTATGGCATTCTTCCCCCCCCCTCTTCCATTTCAGCCATGCCTTTCTTTGATGTGCAGAAAAGGCTGGGCCTTAACTTAGACCAGTGGATGACAATCCAGAGTGCTGAGCAGCCTAACAAGATTGCAGGTCGATGCCATGCTTTTGAAAAAGAATGGATAGAGTGCGCACATGGAATTGGTGGTATCCGTGCAGAGAAAGAGTGCAAGATAGAATATGATGATCTGGTAGAGTGTCTACTTCGGCAGAAAACGGTGAGGAAGTGATGGAGATGGGAACTGAATTACTTCCTTGTTTCTTTGGGGCTACTTTTAAGTGTTTTTAATTGGTCATTAGCCATTGCCTCATCCAATGTGAATTGGCAAAGCACTTGTGGTGAAACACCTTCTCTACCGAGGTACCTCGTCAAAGAAGTTGAATGCCTTCAGGTCTGAGAGGAAACTGTTCCTTAGTGTTCTTCCTCATCTTATGTATTTTCCCTAGCATTGTACCCTGTTGTAGCCACCAGGTTAGACATTGCATGTGTGTATTTCCATTTTTGCAGTAGGCTATAAAGTAAAGAATATCAGCCAGCCTTGGGTATTTGTCCTTGAACATCTTTGGGTGAATGTATTTCACATTAATTGAGTGTTAACTGGGGAAGATTAAAACCCTGTAGATCTATTACATTGAACCTGATAACAATCTGAATTTATTTCTACTCTGGGGAAAATAAAGGCATTAATGAGATTGCTTTAGGTGAACCTGATCAAAGATGCAGAAAAAAAAAAGGTTAATAGCATGGTGCATACCTCCTCAAGAGTTGAATGAGTTGTATGACATATAGGGCCGTATTCTCCCTTGGAGAAGAAATCTCTGGGTGTGGGCTGTCATTTTGCCTGTTTCTGTGCTCCAGATATAACAAACAGAAATGTTTTTACTACTCCCAACTTTTTTGGAGTTTAGGAATACAATGAGATTTTCAGTTAAATTTATCTCAAAGTTACTTGTATCAAAAAGTTTTAATTCTTAACTTTTACCATCTGCTTTTGGCATTTGATTAAGGTAAAGCCAAACTTGGAAGGAATGAGGGGGTGTCAGGTAATAATTTTGTATTGATCTCTGCAGGAATAGTAATCATTAAGTGGGTAATATTATAGTATTACTGAGGGATAAGGAATTATTCATGGTTGTCCACCTACCAGCTATTTAGTTCACAACATGTGTTAACTTCTGTTCTGTGGGCCGCAGTTACTCCTTGCTCAGATTAAGACTTTACTCATTGTGGAAAATTTACACCAAGAGAAGACAGTGTGGTGAGGTGGGAAGAACACTGGATTGGGAGTTGGGAGAGCTGGGATCTGATGCTGGTTCTGCCACCACTAGTTTTGTGACTTCGGGCAAGTCACTGCCCTTCTGGTCTTGGTTTCCTTATTGGAAATATTAAAACATTGCTCTAAGGTCACTTCCTCATCCTGTGAATTTATGAATAGAAACGTTACTGTTTTAGAGTTCACCATAAATCATTAGATACTTCCCTCTAGTCAAAGAAACTTGCAGATCAAGGAATTAGAATCAAGCACTGTTCTAAGTTCTTAGAATGTAATAATGTATTTATTTCTCAAAACAATCCTGCAAGATGCTTTGCAATTGTTTTCCCCACTGTACAGTTTGAAATTTGAGGCAAGGAAATATTAAGGCCATTGCCTAAGGTCATATAGGCAGTAAGAAATGGAAATGGGACTTGAGCCTGGCAATGCTGGTTCCAGACCTTATGCTTGTATCCAGAACACCAAGTGGTGACTGGTTCTAGCTGAGAGAAAGATTTGACGTGTGGTGTTGTGGTAGCTCAACCATGACTAGTCCTCTTTTGGGAGACCTTAATAGAGAAATGTTAAGAATACAGTTTTAAAAATAGTTAGTGTTTATAATAGTATTTAGGATACCTAGAGTTTTTTCTGCTGAAGTTATATCTTAATTCTTTACAGTTAATGTGATGTTTAATTGAATATCTAACTCTTCGTGCTGTTGTGAAAACTTAATCATTCTCTCAAAAACATTTATTGGATCACCTGTTATGTCAGGAACTATTCTAGACACTGGGAATATAGCAGTAAGTAAAACAGCAAAAAGTCTCTGCCCTGATGGAGCTTATATTGCAGGGCACTGGGGCTGAGGGGTGGGGAATGAGGGTTGTGCGGAGGGCAGGGGTAGGATACAGAAAATTAACCAGCAAGGTGAGAAATGCGTGTCAGGTGTTGATATATGCAATGGGGAAAATAAACAGGGGAAGGACAGAAAGCACTGGACATGGAGTGGATGCTCTTATAAGTAGGGTGGTCCAAGAAGAGCTCAGTGCTAGAAGCCATTTGGGCAGAGACTTTGAGAGAGTGAACCATGTGCACATGAAGGAAGAATGTTCTGAGGAGAGGAAACAGCAAGTGGAAGGTTCTGTGAGCTGGAGCAGAGAGAGCCTGGGGAAGAGTATTAAGACATAAAGTCAGAGAGGTGGGTCTTATGAGTCGTTACAAGGAAGGATTCAGCTTTTCCTCACAGTAAGATGGAAGCCATTGGGTTTTGATTAGAGGAATAATGCAGTCAGGATTAGTAAGTCTATTTTCCAAGTCATGGAATCCATGAATTATGGCTCTCACACAGTCTTTTTGTTGTTACTGTTAATTGTTTATTTATCGAGAGAAACTATTCTTAGCCCAGATATTCATAGTTAATAGTTTCATAGTTCAGGAATGCAGGTAAGTGACAAACATCCATGGCACTTGGCCCAAAGAAATTCTTTGCATTCCAAGATCACTTTGCACTCTGAAAGATACCAGTCTTCATCAATCATCTCAGAATCTTTTATGGAATCATAATTTCTGTAGAAATCTGAGTATGCCTTCTTTCTTGGTTCAGCCATAGCAAACTAATAGAAAGCTGCAACTCCCAGGGACACAACGAATGCACCAACAGTATGAAATCACAGGTGGCGAGAAGGCCTTGCATCTGAAGTTTCGTCAAAGCACTGGAAGTCATGGTAGTTACTCTCCTCAACAACGTCCTTCCAGACTTCACACAGTCTTGAATAGCATGACTTTCATTTGTTGGGAATGTCCTGTCTGAGGAGAGGAGGCAGAACTTAGGGTCCTGCTTTTCTGCATGACTGGTAGCTGAGTACATGTCACGTCTTATTTCAGTGTGGTCAGGAGACCTCATATTGGCTATTTCTGCTTCATTCAGACCCAGTGAGCAGTCACCAGCAGCAGTGCCACCTTCATATAGAGAGATGAGGAATATATAAGCTATGAGATGACCTCAGCTTTTACTGTTTTAAAGATTTTAGTATGTACAAATATACCTACTAAGGGTTTTGGATCTCTGTGTTTTTGTTAATTGTTTTTGTAAATACATGTATTCCTATATGTAGTAGGAATATTTTAGTTAATAGTTTTCAAGGAGATACCTGTTATATATATAGGAAACTTACTTGTTAAAAGCTTGGGAAGTGATTTCAAATTAGTTCTTTAAAGATGGGATTTATCTCAGGCCCTCTAGGATGAAAAGCTTCCATAGTTTAAAAATGAAACCAATTTTCATTCCGCTTCTCCAGCCCTCACTTTCTGGTGTGTATCTCCCCCTAGTTTAAATACTTTCTTCCTTTGACAGATGAAGCGTCTGAATACCATCAGGAAGCAGCGGGATAAGCTAATTAAGGAAGGGAAGTACACACCTCCACCTCACCACTCCGGCAAGGAGGATCCTCGGCCCTGAGCAGAGCAGCTGCCGGTGGCTGGAGGCTGATTTTCACATTCTCTTTTCTCTGCTGGAAACTTTACATACTGAGAATCCCTTTGTGAAAGTGTCTAAAAATAAAGGATTGTTGATTCCTATTTTGTTCCATTTTCTTTTGGATCATACTCCTGTATAATGAGGTTGCAACCTATTTTTTAAGTTTGGAAAAAGGCTTCTGCCTATGCCTTAAAAATGAACATCTAGGGAATAATAAGCAGCATGTAATGAATGCTTACTATGTATGAGGTACTTTAAATATGGTAGCTCATTTAAGAAGCTGCAGTGTTCTTAGTGTTTGATTCTGGTCTGTTTTCTGTAAAGCACCAACTTGGGCTGGGAGGGAGAGGCAGTGGAGAAAGTGGTAGTGTGTTTGCTCGAAGGTCTGTGAAGTGTAACTTTAAGGCTAAGAAAGTGCCAAGTTTAGATAACTTAATCGTGAACAAACAATGCCATTGTTTCAATTTTCCATCTTCTATCAGTGGTTTACTAGTACTTCAAACTGACGTATTTAGAAACATGTTTTTAAAAGAAAAAATTCAGATGTAGAAGGAAAGTATGAACCTTAGAAAGTTAATATAAGTGTTGAGAATATAATTGCAGCATTTTTAAAACCTTTAAAAATTGTGTTAAAATTCACATAATATAAAATATACCATCTTAAACATTTTTAAGTATGTAGTTCAGTGGTATTAAGTACATGCACATGCAGCCGTCGCTACCATCCATCTCCAGAACTCCTTTCATATCCACTAAATAATACTCCCCATCCTCCTCTGCCCCAGCCCCTGGCAACCACTATTCTACTTTCCATCTATGATTTTGACTCCTCTAAGTACCTCATTATAAGTGAAGTCTTACAGTATTTGTCTGTGACTGGCTTAGGTCACTTAGCATAATGTCCTCCAGCTTTATACATGGTGTAGCATATATCAGAATTTCTTTTCTTTCCAAGGCTGAGTAGTAGTCCATTATATGTATATGCCACATTTTTCTTATCCATTCATCAGTCAGTAGACACTTGGGTTACTTCCATGTTTTAGCTATTGTGAATAATACTATGAATATGGGTGTACAAATATCTCCTTGAGACCCTATTTTCAAATACACTCCCAGCAATAGTGCAGAAGGATCCTAGTTTCTCCACATCTTCACCAACATTTATTATTTTCTTGATTTCTTTGATAGTAGCCATTTAATAGAAGTGAGGTATCTCATTGTAGTTTTGATTTGCATTTCCCTAATGATTAATGATTTTGCATCTTTCCATGTGCCTATTGACCATTTGTATATTTTGTTTGAATAAGTGTCCATTCAAATTCTTTGTCCATTTTTTAATTGAGGTGAGATTTTTGTTTGTTACTGAGTTTAGGAGTTTTCTATGTATTTGGAATAGTGACTCATCAGATATGTAATTTGCAAATATTCTCTCCCATTCTGTGGATTGCCTTTTTACTCTGCTGATAGTGAATTTTGAAGCACGAATTTTTAAAGTTTTCATGAAGTCTAATTTTTCTATTTTTTCTTTTGTTGCCTTTGATGTCAGATCCAAGAAATCATTGTCAAATCCAATGTTTGTGAAGCTTTTGCCCTGTTTTCTTCCAAGTTTTATGGTTTTAGGTCATGGGTGCATTTTGAGTTGAATTTTTTAAAAAGCATTAGGTAAGGGTTCAACTTCATTATTTCACATGTGGCTATCTAGATTTTTCAGTACCATTTGTTGACAAGACTGTCTTTTCCTTTTTGAATGGTCTTGGCACCCTTGTCAAAAATCCTTTGGCCATACGAATGAGGGTTTATTTCTGGACTCTCATTCTGTTGGTCCATATGTCTGTCTTTATGCCAGTACCACACTATTTTGATTTCTGTAGCTTTGTCTTAAGTTTAAAAATCAGGAATCCTCCTGATTTGAGTCCTCAAGCTTTGCTCTTTTCAGGATTGTTCTGGCTATTCAGGGTCCCTTGAGATTCTATATTAATCTTAGGATGGGTTTTTCTATTTATTAAAAAAATGGGATTTTGATAGGGATAGCATTAAATCTGTAGATTGCTTTGGGGTAGTACTGACATCTTAAGTCTTCCAATCGATGAACATGAGATTTCTTTCCATTTATGTCTTTTTTTTTCAGTTTTTTTTGAGGTGGGGAGGGAGGTAATTAAGTTTACTCATCTATTTACTTTTTTTTAGAAGAGGTACTGAGGATTGAACCCAGGACCTTGTGCATGCTAAGCATGTGCTCTACCACTTTGAGCTATACTCTCCCCCAGTTTATTTATGTCTTTCATTTCTTTCAGCAGTGTTTTGTAGTTTTCATTGTAAAAGTCTTTCATCTCCTTGGTTAAGTCCTGAGTGTTTTTAGATGCTATTTTAAATGGAATAGTTTCTGCAATTTCATTTTCAGATTATTCATTATTAGTCTTGCAGCATTTTGAGTCATAAATGTCAAATGTAGGGCTTGAATATAAGGTTTTTCTCAAAAGGGAAAGTATATTGTGTCCTAGTCTCAAAATTGGAAATAGAGGATTTGGCATTTGACCAGGGTCCTGCTTAATCTGTGTTAGCCAAGCAGCATTTTTTTTTAAGCAGCATTTTAAAAAACTAATCATTAATCAATCACAATGGAGAAGCAAGCTGGAGTCCTTCCAGCAAGATCCTGTGCTGTGGCCCTGTGTTAGGTTGTTTTATTGTGCTCTAAACACACAAACATTTCTGAATATTTTAAGTCCCAAATGGCTTTAAGTGCATACATATTTATGAAAAAGCAAGGGCCAATAGGAAATGCCAGAGAGGAAAGCAGAATATTAATTAGGGCTTAATGTAGGTACGTGCCCTTTCATTCAAAGATATCTTTTATTCCTGAGCTCTGGGTTATAGAATGAAGGGAAAGCAAATCCCGTGAGATTATATTTACCTGAAGGTGAAAAATGAGTGATAGAGAACACTTTATTGTGTTTGTTGGAAAGCATTGACTTGATGTCTTTACAGGATATCAGAAGCCTTCATTTACAGCAGATACTCATAAGCAAACAGATCTGGGACAAGCAACCCTGCCTCTTGTCTTTGTATATTTGGCCAACTTTGTGCTTTAATTGCTTTTTTTTTTTTTTGAGAAAGTAGGACAGCAACGTTACGAGCTGGTGAAAACAAGGAGCCATCTCCAAGACCCCTGTTCTTTAAGCATCTGAATAAGAACAAGCAGAGTTAGGACTGTATCTTTTGACCAATGAGGTTGGTACAGAATAGAACCGAGGTTGGGGGCAGTAGGGACAGAAAGCTGTGAGGTTCTTTGCTATTGATAATTGAACACTGAGAGGTAAGCTACTGGCTGCCTGTGCCTACTGGCCCGCCCCGCATCATTCTGGTAAATGGGACCCATAACTGTGATTTTTAATTCTGACTGCCACGACTCAGCACACAAGGGCAACCACTGAATATTTTGGCAACTCCATTTAAATTTTTCATTTCATTTTTTGGAATAGGTAATTTATGTGGTTCAAAATTCAAATGGTGAAAAGGATATAAAATGAAAAATCTCCCCCTCCCTTCCATCATCCAGTTGCCCTCCACAAAGGCAACCATTGTTTTGAGTATCCTAGAGATTCTGTGTCTGTACATACACACGTGTTTTCTTTGCCCTTTTCAAAACAGATGATAGCAAATTGTGCACATAGTTCATGCATTTTGCTTTCTGTTCTTAACTATATTTTCAAGAATGATTGATACCAGGCACATGACCCATTTGGAGTTAATGACTGCCTCTTGCTTGGAATCCTGAAAGAGAGGAGGGATGTCTCCTCTGGATTTAGTGCTGAAAAGGTTTAAGTTCTGTAGGTACTTTAGACATAATTTATTCTTTCAATGAACAAATACTTATTAAGCACCCACTTTACTCTAAGAAGAGAAAAATAAAAGTATGCTCAATAAATGAAGAGGACCAGCCAAGTTGAGAGAGAAACTATTTTCTTGAGCTTCTGTATCAAGTCCTTTATAATACTAGCCCTATGCCTGGACTCTGACGTTGTATAAGCCAACAAATTCCCTTTTTTGCCTAAGCCAGTGTTGTGTGGATTTTCATCACTTGCAATGAAAAGAAGGCCAAATATATCAAAGGTGTCTCATTTTGCACTTTAGGAACCTGAGGCTGAGAAGGGTGAAATGACTTAGCTGGTATCAAATGTCTGTAAGCCCTAGAAGCAGAATTTGAATCTAGGTCTAGACTTCCACTTCTGATTTTATAGAAGGCCTTGAGAGACCTTTGCTAATGTAATAACAGGGAAAACCTGAACAAAACAATTTGTAATTTCTCATGGGGCTAACAAAAGGTGGTATATTAAGGGAAGCCTTGAACTGAACTCCAGAAAGAATTTGTAGGTGACAAGAACTAGTCAGCTTCCAATCTGGAGGGTGGGCTCCTGGTGTGGTGATGGGTAGGCCTACCACAGATGTGGAGACATTGCAGGGCTAAGGGAAATCAGCTGAGTTAAGATGACAGTATGGAATGGTAGGACAGTTGGGATCTGAAAGAACATCAAACACAGCAGATTGCCTGGCTCAACAGTTCTGCCCTCACCCTTGCTACTCCCTCCAAGTTTTTCTGAGAAGATAGTAGTGGAGGAGGAGATAGTAAGCATAAATGATGTAGTTGTGCACATTCTAGGGGGTGAGAGCATCCTGGAGCCCTGTCAGAGTTGACTGTAAAGGTGAACCCAAAATATCTGGAAGTTCAATCAACGCCTTCCCAACTCAAATTCTGGCAAGATGAAAAAGACAGCACCTAGGAACGCTGGCAGTTGGGTTAATCACAGGTGAAATCAACCTAATTAAACTCAACCCCAGCCCTACTCAGAGGAATCTGAATGATCACTTCCTCTAACGGTTAGAGGAAAAGGTTTCTACTTTTTGGGAAATAAATAAGGATTATACTTTATTCGCTTCTGTTCTTCTATAAACAATATCTGGAATACAATATCAAATTATGAAACATGCAAAGGAGCAAGAAAATGTTTGAAATTTATGAAAATTTTAAAAAATTACAATCCATAATTAAGGAGAAAAAGTCAGCCAAACTGTTGTAAATACAAAGAAATTTGTTACTGTAAAC